GCTTTAAAGCTGAGCTCGTGAATTTGTCTGTTTCTAGGACATAGTTAGTGCTTTCGTGTTTTTTTGAGGCCACGTTTCTGACGTTGATTTCCCCACGAGGTTTGTATCCCTGTGCCAGCTTCTCCAGTATTGGTGCTGAATTGAATTTCCGCAGTGTCGTAGTCAAGGTGTAGAATGTCGTCATCCGGCGCGGGTGGTGGTGCTTCCCCCGCCGCTGATCCATCTATTGCGGAGTCCATACAGAGGGCGCAGGCGTTGGCAGCCTCTCTCGCCCGAACTAAGGGGGTCCTGTCAACTCCGCAGGCCCCACCAGCCGCGTCGGGGCCGCCCACTTCGGGCTTCTCGCATAGGCCCTCGTCGGCTTCAGCTTCGCGGGGTAGTCACTCCTCTCCCAGGGGACCGCCATCTTTTGACTATGGTGTTCCGCAAGAGTCGGGATTTTCCCAAGGGCCTTCTTCGGTTTCTAGAGGACTCCCTCACCACACCCCTTCCCGCGGTCCAGTCTCATACGATCAAGCTGTAGGGGAAAAGCAGCAGCCGCATATTTTGCCGGTGCCGGGGAGGAGTGATGGCACATGGACCTCAGTTGATGCTGCAGCAGCTATTGCGGCGCAGCAGAAACAGGTGTAGAAGTCCTTCAACAGCAGTAGCGTTGACAACAGCAGCAATGGAGACAGTTGCAGGCCTTCATACTATATTTTTATGACACAAATAGCAGCAGAATTGTGGCTTGGGGTGTATGTACAGCTTATGCAGCAGCGCGCCAGAAAGGCGGCCCTGAGGGCAATGGCGACAGTCTGCGCAGCTATCCCCAAACCCGATCTCAGAGACCCTGACTTGTTAGGTGCTGACATCAAGAAGACAGCAGTATGCTATGAAACAAGTTATAACATTCGGCTGCACTGCATACTCGAAGCAAATGCTATAGTAGTTGAGCCTGTTTTCTGCTTTTGGCACCTGTGGCGGCGTGCGTGCTGTCATTGACGATACTGCGAAGTTTGCTGCTTTTGAGATGCAGAGACAGTTGGAGAATGGAGTGTGGATATTGGATCTCCCGCTGCAGACTGGAGTTTGTGGGGTAACTGCAGCAAGCCCAGATGCATGGCAACAACTACAGCATGTAGAGACCATCGCTTCCCTGAGGCGCCGTACCGGGGCTGGCTTCATCCTTCGGGGTTCCCCTCTATCGCAGCAACAGCAGCAGCAGCAGCAGCAGCAGACGCCACAAGGAGTATATGTGAGAGTTGTAGGAGAAGACCAGGAGACAGTCTACAGAGGAGCTGTTGCTGCATGTGAGCCGTACATTGAAATTCATTACATTTCATCCATATCATTATAATGTTTAAAGCCTACGGCTTAGTTGTAAGCGTCTCAGTTTATCTCACCTACCTCCTCCGTGCTTACAGGGAGCTTTCTGGGCCCTCCGCAGTACCTTCCGGCGCCGGCGGATGCAGCTGACGACGAAACATTTGACTGCACAGCTGCGATGGCAGGAGAAGATGTAAGTGAAACATAGGAGGAGCTGTACGGACCTCAGGTACCCCATGGAACTGTTGTCTAAAGCACTTTGGATAGAGGCGCATGCATTTTTGTCTTCCAAATTGTGGGCCTCTCTGCTTGTCCATTATTAGTTTTACTGTGGTCGCAAACGGTTTGTGTCCATTGCGGCCTGGCATAGAGAGTGGAGAGTCTTCCTTTGGTGATCAATGTACGGTTTCGTGACTTGTGAGTCGAACTGCTAACCTTAGTCCCAAGTTTCCAGCAGTCAACGAGTGTTTTGTAGTGCCTAAAGCTTGTAGGAACCTGTTTTGCTGTAGGATGAGTTCTTGAAGGATGTCTGCCAGAGGACGGGTGCCCTTGTAGACATCGAGCCGGATCATTCGCAAGGCGGTAACCGAACTGGAGACACGCTAAGCACGCGTAATCTTAGGCGCCGCATAGAAGCCTGAGGGCAGCTTTGCGTAATATTGAGGGCACTACCAAGCTACCAAGCTCTCAAGCCTATACGGTTTGATTTGGTCCCTCTGTATGCGCCGTGGAGAACCAGAAGCCCTCGTGCCGGCCATGGGGCCAAATTTTGAGTTTGTGGACTTGAGTTGTTTGCGCATTAGGATACGGTCACATGGCGGAGAGGACGGGGCTGCGCTACTCGGCGAGGGCATGCACGCAGGGCGCAACGGAAAAGGCACTAAGACTCTTGCGGTGGCGACTTGTTTGTATTGAGGAGGCCTGGAGGCAACACAGTGCCCATGGATTTACACGAGATACCTGTAAGCGTTCGTTTGGGAAGCTCCGTGCTATGGGGCAGTAATAGCCTCCTGTCGGTGCTTGGGCGCGATGGTTTTCGGTGCGTTTGCTCTCTGCCTCTTGAGTGTTGTTTCTTCCATGTGGCGGTAAACCCATGGTGTGTGCTCTGTGTCTCCTTGAGGCTTGCTATAAGGCCTTCATAAGTAGCCTTAAACTACTGTAGCCGATAGTGTCATCCGCTCCTTAATATTGCACTAGGTGAATTCCTGAATCGGCGGACTGTCGTTGCTTATGCTTTCTCAGCTCCGACAAGCCATAGGGGAGGATGGAGAGAAGTACGCGTGCGAACAACAAACATCTGCTCCGGATTGGCAGTTTCGGAACCTCAGATTGCGAGGATGTCTAGTTGTGAACATGCTACTTGACGCTTCAATTCGGGCGCTTGTTCTTGTTGTTGCATGTGCTTTTTGTGCAGTCACCATACGGGTCAGTCATTGTCTTACTGCAGAAAGATCAGCACCTTTTGATGGTGCCGCTGCTCTTTGCGTTTGTCGTGCTCTTCCTGGTGAACGTGTGCTAGGAGTTGCTTTCGCCTGACGTACTAGGTTGCCGCCGCGATGCAGGCATTTTCTCACATAGTTAAGTGATTTGAAGGCTCGATTATCGTTCCAAGCTTCTTCCACTTAGTTTATTGATTTTAAAGCCCTACTATTTTAAGTCCCGGCCGTCGCTCTTTTCATGCACGTCGTGCAGCGAAAGCGATATGGTGGTGTCTCTCAGTGCTTCTCCTGGCCAAGACGTCCGGAGCGCTGCTGCTGCGTCCTTCTGGCAGTCGGCGATGCCAGATGAGGCGGAGATGATGAGAAGGCGAAAAGAGGCCGAAGAAAGACGCAAAAAGAGAGGACAGAGGTCGCGGTGAGGATTAAGACTTAAGCTTAGGTGACGTTGTTCTGCCTCCCCATACTCGTGTTTGTGCCTGTGTCGGCTTTTGCTTCTCCACAGCAGGATTGCCAAATAAATAGTGCTTGCTCCGAAACACTTTCCACTTGTGTTGCTGACTATCGGTTCGGATGTGCTTGCATTTCGTTTCTACCTAATGTATTTTTTGACCACGGCGTACATGTCACCTCTCATGAATTATTACTAATTTGCGTGGTGTTCCTTACGCAGCTCTGCCTCGCCCGAACGGTGTGGACCTAATCGTCTCTCCTTTGCACCCCCACCAGATGAACTTCTTACTGGGCCTTACGCTCCCCTAGACAAGTAGTAGCCCCAAGTCTTCACCTTTGGGCGAGTGGCTTGCTTTGTTAGGGCAAAGGCCATTTGTTGGCGCGTACGGCGGCAGTTACTATGCTGCAGCCGAACAAACTTCCAGCGAGAGCCCTTTACTGCTGTATAACGCTGCACTGGCGTTGATGACTGACGGCCAACGAATGCGCGGGAACAATTCGACTAGCTATAGTTGCGTTGTAGCTTCTGCTGTTACTAGTGTTTGTGGCCTCTGCTGCATGAGAGCATGCGTGCCATTGCAGAATCTCAGAGGAGACGGGTTGTTAACTACCTAAAAAATAGTAACTGTTCAATGCGTAGGCAGGCATTTATGCCTAGACTCCACGTTTGTTAGTTGGGTAGCGCGCATTAGACGCTTGCTACCGAGGAGGAAAATGTGTTGTCAATAATGAAGAGCACTGCACCTCACGTTAATATTCTTCAAAAGCACGTTTTCCCAATTTTTCTCCGATTGGACATAAGTTTCAGACGTGCACTCGAGGCCTTGATGCCTTTGAAAAGACTTGACAAATGTATTGACGCGACTCAACAGAAGCACAGCAGGGAGACCAAAGAGAGCCTGAAATATCCTGGAGAAGAAGGGCCCCACAAGCACAATGGGTGCCGTTGATACTTCATGTCGTGAAGTGACAGTTTGTACTACTTTCTTGATTTGGATGTGTAGGTGGTGGTACCCTATGAATTTGCTTTTGGAACTCTCCGGCAGAAGTGAGCTTGATGGCAGTGGGTGCTTTCACAAGATGTACATCGAAGTCACTTAGTTCCTTCTACATCAACGCTGACAGCCGCCTCTGCTGGTGCGCCACGGGGTCCGTCGGTACTGGTGTACTGGTACTGTTGCATTTGCTGTATGGGTGGCCCCTTTTGGACCCCCTGCTGCTGTCCCTGTTGTGCATGGGCTGCAATAGGATTAGGGACTGTGTAGAGTGTGCAATCTCCTCTCTGGGAGCTCTCTTGGGGTTGCCGAGGGCCCCCAGGTGTGAGGGGTTGCCAATAGCTCCCTAAATAGGCCCCGGGATAAGCGGTCCCAACAGCTGTATGTGGAGGCATCATTGGCTGCATGTAACCAGAGCAGCCAACAAAGGTCGAGTGACTTCCAAAGGGCCCCGCTGGGGTTGCCCTGGGCAGAGTTAATTGCGACGTTCCAACAGTTGCAGAAGCCCGGGGCAGGCAGTACAAGGCCCCCGCAGGCTGTATGTTATAAACCTGGGGAGCGTCTCCGCACTGAGGAAGAGCTCCAGCTAAACCTGCGGCCAAGCATGATCTAATGTGTAAGGCGCTTGTTAGTAGACTAATTTGCGCATGGCATTCGGGTGTCGAACCAAAAACAGACGCACAAAGGTGAAACATGGATACAGGCACAGAAGATACAGACTTCCTAGCTAGCCAGGAGCACTACGCGTGTTCCTGTGGTGGTACATATACGCTGGCGCACCATCTGAGCATAAGGTGAACGGAAGAAGTTAGCACCACATTTGGTTCATGCACCCGGACTCACCCATTTGCTGTAACTGTTTCATCTGTTGTTGCTGCTGCATGAGAAGCTGCTGCCGCTGCAGGTGTTGCAGAGGGGAGTCACTGGCAGACACAGTTGTTGATGCCTCAGTAGCTATGCATGGTGCTGGCCTGTCCTTTGTCTCCCTTGAAGCACCGGGACATCCCTCCTCCTGTGCCGCTTCCATTCCTGCTGCTAATATTGAGGCTGTTCCCTGCCCGTCGCTGGACAGAAGTGCCTCCTGTATGAGGGGTAGATTTAGCAGAGCTACATAGAGGGCATGGAGCTGGGGGGTTTCTTTGAAGTAATGCATCTCTACTCCCACATTCTCTGGGTGTGATTGCTCCTTCTGCTGGTCTCCGTTAATGGTCTCTTCAGTGCTGCCGCTGCTGATGAGGCACTCAGCAATTCGCTGATCGTCATCGATCAGGGAAAATAAGAAGTAGTCAGCGAGGGAATCTTCCTCGCCAAGAAAAAAAGGCTGCAATCTGCTGACCACTGGCCCCCTGATGGAGGCGTCTAGGCTGACCATTGGGGCCCTTAACGATGCGTCGACGCTGGACTGTGGCGTGAAAGCAAACTTGCTGTTAAAAAATGCCAGCAACTTCTCCGCCTCTAAGTAAAAATGGCGTCGGCTCTGCGACACGCACCGCATCCTGCACAAGATAGTCCCTGGCACTGACAAAGGCCGAAAAATGCAAATGCGCCCATAAAATGCACCATGACTCTCCAAAGACGGCCTGTGCCACCTCGTGAACGTGAAGTTAGCCCTCAGCCCCATCACAGTCTCAATGCCATCCCCACCTTTACGTAGTCGCAGATCGCATCTTTAGCCATGGAGTCTGGAGAAAGGATGGACTGGATTGCGGCTTGTTGTACATTAAACCAAGTATTAAGGTCCATGAGCTGCACTCAGGACAGTAACAATGTGTGTAGACTAAATTCAGCGTATATAGAATTAGAGGCACCGGGTAAAGTTCTACATGGACTTTCTGCAGCAAAGTTTGAGATGCAGTTAAAGCTTGATGTTGTTGCTGCCGCTGCTTTTATTAAAAGCCTATTATCCTGGTTCCACACCGAGAAGTTTGGCAGCAGCAAATAGAAACAGTGCCTGCACCTTCGCTAACAGCAGCAAAGTGCACTCACCAGCCGGTCTTGCAGTGCATCTTTCATGTGATCGATGCCATATTGGCCCAATTTTTTCGCCAGGTACCGAAGACAGACCTCAGGTCCTCCGCAAACGACACGACCCTGAAATGCAAATTTTGTGAACTTCAAACTAGAATGTCCTTACCTACCGAAAATCATGAAATGTAGATGCCCTCGTACAGCCAGATCTTGATGCGCAGACAGATGTATGGAATTCGGGGTAGACGCTCAAATGGGTACCAATTTTGAGGCTGATTTGTGCAGCTTGGAAATTCACTCACGTCGTGTATGAGCAGAGGCATGGTGCTGTCTGCTGGCACCTCCCTCGCCTCGATGAGGGCCATGACATCTCGCGTGCATTCATCCGCCTCATCTGTAGCCACGGAGTGCTTCACCTGCTTGCCCAGGAGGTACATGTGCACGCTTCTGAGAGTCAAAAACACAAAGCCGGCCGGCAGCCTTCCTGAAGCACTAATGCATACGTCTGCGCAAGCTGTGCAAGCAATAATCAGATGCAAAGAATATCCTGGATGTAATGTAAAGATAGAAGTACTTTCTGCACAGGCAGTGAAACATGAACTCCACGAACTGGAACATGTGCCATGCTTCATATACTCATAATCCTCAGACTTGCCCTCCTTCGCCCAAAAAGGGCTCGCGGTGAGGTACATACAACCGGAGATCGCCAAGGAGCCTCATTGGCAGCAGTTGGGTTGGGCGGAGCTGAACAGAAGCAGCACCACAACGAAGGCTTCTGCCAAGGCCCAAAGACACAGACTAGGCTATACATGATGCCAAAGAGTTTTCGAATTCGCTCACGAGTGTAGTATTTAACTTTACAGGGTCAGAATACGCAGGTGCTGGCAATACATTCCTCATTTGCTGTTGCATCTGCATCGCCTGCTGTTGCTGCTGCCACTGCTGGTGCAGCCATTGCTGCTGGAGCCACTGCTGGTGCTGCTGCTGCCACGGCTGCGGCAGCGATGAAGGTGCTGCCCCTGACAGCGGATACGAAGGGTACAGCGGGTTGTTCGAGCAGCTGGGTGGTCCTCGCGAGGCGTCAGTGTAGCGTGATGCTGCTCCTGCTGCACTGGGACAATAATGCAGACCCACGGCATCCAGCCCTTGGCCCTCTACAATCCTTTGTCTGTGTTGTTCAGCGTGTAACTGCTGCTGCTGTCCTGTGTGGGAAGGCCTCACAGGAGTCCCGCTTCCAGTCGGCTGCTTCAGTTGCGGGGGCTGCTGCTGCTGAAGCTGCTGTGGCTGTTGTGGCTGCTGAAGACGCTGATTGGTATGATATTGTTGCTGCAAGGTCGGATGATGCTGCTGCTGAAATTGGTGGGGCTGCTGCTGCTGGATATGATTTGGAATAGTCTGCACTGAAATGCGGGAAGATGTCTGCCTGATAGAGGGAGGCAGACTTGCCGCTCGGTGAGCGAAGGAAACCGCCTCTTTCTGCACAGCGGGGACTTGATGCAGCCCCTCTTGCATCTCCTGCTGATGTTGCTGCTGCTGGCTACGCTGGTGACACCGCTCCTGTTGGTCTTGCTGGTGATACTGTCGCTGATGCGACTGCCTGTTTTGCGGCTGTTGCTGGGGAGGCAGCAACTGGTGCTGTTGAGCTGAGCAAATATCCATTTGGTGAGGTGTCGATTTCTGAAGGGCTTGTTGTGTAAGTGCAACTCGAGCAATGCGCACAGTGACCAATGGCGGATGCACGGATGCCACACCACACCTGGACGAAGAAATCCTGGTCTCTACTTCATAACATATCAAATATGTTTTCTGAATGACGAATATACGTGGTCGTCGTCAAGGATTTGGCTATCACTCTCCCATGCTCCTGTGTCCGGAGGTCGGAGGGCAAAAAACGCCGAACCAGGTCAAAAAGCTAAACCGGGAAACCAGAGACCTCGAGTCCTACAGGCCAATCCATATTTTTGCCAAGTCAATCAAATGGCCAGGAATTAAACGTGGTGTTTAGTGGAGAGCGCCTGCGGAGCAGGGGGGCCATATCCGGCCCTGCTGACAACAAACTAGTATAGAGGGCTGTGGCAAACCATGCGGGAAACAGTGGGACAAACCACAGGACCCCATCAGTATACCTTAGACAAGAAGCGTACTTAATTTATCGCAAATTTTTTTGCGTTTTCCAATTTTTTTGCGGGAATGTGGAAAGGCCTGTGCTAACATTGAACGGGGTGACCTATGGAATGAGGCCGCTGCTGACCCTCACTGAAATTTGGAGTGCTGTGTAGACGTTTGGTGCACGGTCTAATGCCCACTTTCTAATTACTGAACAACCCGATTCCAGCAGAAGAGGAACGCGAGTATGTGAGGAACCCACGGATGAAGTGCAACCTACAGGGGGAACTCCCCATATAGCCAGTGGTCCTCTGTAGCCTTTCACCCAAGCGCTGGCCATCCACCCTGGCTTGGAGTTGTACTGAAGCCTGTGTGCTTGATACTATGGCAATAAATTTCAGACACGTACGTGTGCTCCTTTAAACACACGGTGACGGGAGCTCGTGTGAATGACCTCCAAACAAAAGGAGCGAAAAAGTTAAGTTCCAAGGCGCATGCGACTACGACTTGTATCGCTGAATGCTAGCTCCATCGCGCTGCAATTTGGGGGCGCTAACCCGCACCTCTGTGGACAGCATTGGTTTCCCAGGGTTCCAACTCACGCACCCTCGAAAAAGGAAGACGCACTGCAGCCCCCGCCCCAAGAATTGCCCTGTTTGCCTCCAAGTTAACCGAATCTAATTTAGGCTTCATCGCCGAAGAAAGCACGAGTTGAACTCCACGTACCGTCCCCAAGTCTCCTGTGTCTGCGGTATGCCGTCAGGCTCTAGGCTCTGCATCATCTTCGTAATATGTCAATATGCATAACTTGATATGCACTAGTATGCAAACCTACTACAAACTCGCGCACTATCGGAAGAAATGAGGCAATGTGACTATTCAATGGAGAATCTCCGGGGAAAAGCAAAAGAGCCTTAAGTCTTCGCTTAACCCGAAACTTGAGATAAGCGAAGACTTCAGCTATAGAGTGCCCGTGTTTACGTTCAGCATTTATTTTGGATTGATATAATCAGGCAGCGTATACCCTAAACTCTTCACAAAGTTTTCCACAGTGCGCAGAGCCATGCCCTCCGATAAGGGTTTGGCGACGGAGACGCGCACGCTGAAGCGCCGCGACAGCAGGCTAGAAAAATGAAAAGACGGTGAAGTCGCAGCAGACGCAGCGGCTTCGTGTTTTCTGGTTGGCCGGCCGGTAGTACACAGTGCCTGCGGTAATATACGCTCTTTAGATACCAACCAAGCACTTCTCGTGCTCATAAATCAAATCCACATACAAAAACGCTGTAAAGGAAAACAGATCAGTGAGATGAAACAGGGCTCTCAAGAAGGCTGCGATAGACCGGCCGGAAGAGGTCGTTTACAAAAAACCATGTTCACGGGCTCAGTGGCCTCCATGGCCGTGGCCCCCACCAGCAGCAGATGCCGCCGTTTCTTTGCCCATCTGCAAACATATGCGCAATCCCAGAAGCACCATAAGACAAATGTACAAGCATCGCCTACGGAGGCCCGCGGAAGTGCTAACAAGGAAGCTGTATTTCGTCTGAAACAGAGCCCGTTGTCTTCAGGAAAATGGGAGTCCAGTGTTACCACATCAATGGAAAGCACCATCAAGCCAAACCAGTCTTACTCGTTGTACCTTAAGTTTCCGTAGCTATTCAGAATTTCTGTTCACAACTCCTTAACTCGAAAGAGAGTCGTTGTGACATATATTTCAGCTTCTATAGCTTCGAGGCAAGGAGAGCGTTTGAAAAAGCTGAAGTATGTCATGACGACTCCACTTCTAGTTTAAAAAATTGTGACAAGAGATTCTGTGAAAAACTGAGGAGGGAATAAGGGGGGAAACACATCAAGTAACGTGGTGAGAAGAAAAAGTACTGCGTCTGTCTTACGTTTGCCAGCCTCGTAGTGACCTGGGCATATAGAGGTTTCCCCGCCAGCTCGATTGTCACATACATGGAAATAATGCCGCAGATGCCAATCATAGTGCGCCGGAAAATGGGCATAAGGACGGTGCCAGACCCGTACGTCATCTTCGGAGAGAGCTTCTTGCTTGGATGCGGCGTGAAGGACTAACTAGTGGATAAAAGTCATTCACTGGATCCAGAGATAAACATCGGAAGTTTGGCATATGCAATTGAGAACATCGCTCTGGTTGTTTTATATCAAAGCCCTGAACGGCATGGAGGCTGTTGCATGCAGCAAACTACGCCTTTTGTCAGGATCCGTTCGACAAAATGGGCCGATACTACTACTTGCTGAGACAAAAAAAACCTATGAATTGCATCCTCGTTTACAGCATTTTCATATCCTAGGTGACTAGCGAAGGCGAAAATTAGCAGCCGTCGTAATGTGCCTGTCCTGCCCAACCTGCTAGTTATATGTGCGCACTTATTCGGACAAATTGCTCTCAACCAGTCATGAAATTATCGATTTAACAATTTCATGGGAAGAACTGGAAGGCTGGTGAGCGTGGCGAGCTATGGGACCAGACAGCGGAGCTTAACACGGCAGTGAAGGGTTGTTAGAAATGCCGGGAGCTGCGCACGACAAAGCGTCCGATTTGTTCACTTCATACCGTGCTGAGCTTTTAAACAATGAAGCTTTGTATTTGCCCAGCCTCATCTTTGCTTTGGTAGATTGTAAGGAATGCGGACGCCTTTCGAGTGCAACTACAGGGTTGTGCGGTCATGCGCTGTTGCTGCCAGAACTCCAAGTGTTTGTTATTCAGCTTTCTTGTTTTACTCCTTGAGGACCTGTTTTTGTAGTTCTTCGGTTCACTTTCATTTGAGGATATCCCCTCCCCCGGACCGGCATTGTCTCCAGTAGTTCGCAACTACTATTGCCTGGCATCCCCTCCCCCGGACCGGCATTGTCTCCAGTAGTTCGCAACTACTATTGCCTGGCCATTGTAGACCTTGAAATGGGACTCAACAGCAACAACTTTAGCATTCTGATGCAGTCAAATATGTAAGTATTCAAGTATGTAGTAGGAGTCATTTTAGTTTCAACGGGTAACGCACTGGGGCAACAGACCACGGCCTCAACGGCCAACAGTTTCCAGCAGGTATGGGCAAACGTGCGACTCTGTTGTTAAAAAATCACGACCTAAACGCCTAAGGTGCACTATGATAGCTAAGAGAAAAAACGTTGAATGCAAAAATGGAGTGTTGACGCCCTGCTGCTGCTGCATTAAGCATATGCTGGGGATGTGGGGATTCCGCATTGGTACTGTAACGGCCCGAAGCAGGCCTCTTTTCTGGTCTAGCGTTAGTCAGGAAAATGTCCAGGACACAGCTTGTGAGCAGAAACGCCAAAACAGCTGAGCGCGGCAGATTAAAGCAAAATTTTCATTGCCTTGGTTCTTCTGCAACTCTTCAGGTCTTTCACGAAGTCTAAGGCTAAGTCAAGTAATATAGTGATACACAAAGGACAGCACTTTTCGAAGTCCTATACGCGAAGGCGGAAAATGTCTCAAAAAACGATTAAGAAGACACAACGCAGAGTGTGGCAGTCTCCCTGACTGCTTTTTCTGAAGGAATGACATCGATGCACCTTGTTGTAACAGAACAAATCTGCCAAGGCATGGCGGGCGAGATATGCGGTGAGGTATAGACGGGCGGAGCCAAGAGAGGTCCAAATGTCCTTGATGAAGCGCCAGACAATGCAATGATATTGTAACCGCTACTTAAAAATGAAGAAGCAAACGCTCAAGTCGTGTAGCCCAGAAGACGCTGTAACTGCATTTCTTCAATCCTCTCCAGACGTCGATGCCATGGCTCAGAAGAAATATACATATGGGCGTTACTTGATGATAGCAAAACTGTCGGAGTAACTCTTTCGACGGAGGCCCAATTAGTCTCTGCACGTGCTGTTAGGTTGATCACTAGGAGCATAACATTTAGCAGTGAGAACAGTCCCGGCATCTGTGCGTTAGCGAGCATGTGCGAAAGCGATAGAGCTGAACGAACACTAGCAGCGATAGACATGCTTGCTTTACCTTTTGTCGGGAAAAAGCCGTGTTTGATCTTGTTGCTCTCCAGCACTGTGATTCCAATGCTGATCAGCCACCGCTTTTTATTAGGCCGTCTATGCCACTAAGTGTGAGGGCCCCTGAGCAGTATCTCGCTTCACCTGTATTTTGTTTTCAAAATTCGTAGCGAGTGAGCGAGCCGTCACTGCCTATTTCCACAATTAGTTTCACTAGACGCCATCACAATTTTTGACATGTTGCGCGCATCAGGAATGAGCCTGTAGCACATTAGCCAGAAACCACTCAGGTCAGAACAATGCACAAAGAATAGATATGTCCTTGCATGGAAATCGTTGTAAAATACTTTTAGCAGCTTTCACCCATCCATAACTAGAAAAACGGATTCAGAAGAAAGTGACGCCTGAGGAGGCAAAGAGTCTGCGTGCGAATACAGCAATCAGGAGATGATTACGTTGCCTTTGCCATGGCCGCCATCATTTGCTTGGTACATGGGACTATGATTTTGAGAGGAAAATATCCCCGAACTGTTCCTGTCTAGTTTGATTATCCCCGTGTCCGCAGG